GTAAATTGCACATCCACATTTGAATAGAGATTGGCATTCGAGTAGACTTTACTCCCACTATCTCAAGTTCTATCAAATTGTGGAGATTGGCGTTCGAACAAACTTTACTCCTAGTATCTCAAGTTATGTCAGATTTTTGATTCTGCATTTGCTCCATGTTTGAACGTCATTTCACACTCGAACGTGAAACCCATTTCTGCCTAAATTTCCAAGGAAGCTTTGACATAGTTAGAAGTTGATTCATGAAATATACTTTTGTAGTCCTTGACTTCTAATTTTTACTATCCAAAAATCTAATCAATCGGACATCAGGATAAAGATCTATGGAGCAAATACTAAAGTAGTGTCAAACACTGACCTATCGGTAGGAAAGTTTATGTTCCTCATGTACTGGTAGCTCTTCACAACTACTAGTAGAACTACTCTCTGTCTTGAACCTGCTAGTACCAAAGTAATAATCTACCATAAAAAAGTTTCTATTTCACTTCTATCGGTAGATATTCACTACTACTAGTAGAATCTCAATCTGTCACCAGATGAACTGGTAGGAAACCTACCGGTAAGATTAATCTTTTTCCCAATTATGCTTGCAATGTCCTTGGCTCAACTCTTGGATCTCCTGAATCATTACCAAAGTCTTCCACAACATGAAAATGAGTGTAAAACTTCGCTCTTACATTCATTTACCTACAAACACAAATATTCTCCATAAAACATAAAACTAAGCTAAAACAAAGGAAATAGATAACTAACATAACTAAGATGAAAGATATGCGACATTAGATATACAATATTATACTCTCATCACTTACCTTTTCTTCTCAACCTCTTGTCGAGAAGTTGTTCTCCCTTTCTCTTTTCCCCATTTGGAGTTTTTGATCTACTCAACTTGCACTTTGACCTGGAGGACTCAACACCACTATCCTTGATGTATTTTTTAAATTTTCTAGCAAGATATGCAATGTCCTCTTCTCCTAATCAGGGTGACTCGAATGTATCTCCTTCTCTCATTGAACTCAAAGCTACCCCCTTCACTTTCTTGGGTGGTAGGAGACTCATCTCGAATGTCAAAATGGACTAACAATGTCCTCCACTAACATCTCCTCCAAATTGACGCTTGTTTCTAAGGCATGAAATCTTTCTGAAAAAACCTAAAGATTTTCCACTTAATTGTTGTGTCATCATATTTTATACCTAATGCAAAGGATATGTTAACAATATCACTAAGTTTAGCATAGAAATCACTACAACTTTCATTCTCTTGCATTCTCAAAGTCCCGAACTGAATGATGTACCTTTAGAGGTGAGATATATTTACCATTTTAATCTCTTTGTGGGAAACTTGCAAGATGTCCCATGCATATTTGGAGATCTGGCAAATTGCTATCCTTCGAAACTCGTTTGGTGTCACGGCAATGAATATTGCATTCAAGTCTTTCGAGTTCCACCCTAACAAATCATACTCGGCTTTTTTCAAAGTATTGTGGGGGTTTTAGTTCAACGAACAGCTCACCGCCTTTAACGGGGGGAGTGAGCATCAGAGGGCTCCAACCCTCTAGCACTTACAATCGCACCCACTTATCAAGTGATTTAAGAAAAGCTCTCATCCAAGCCTCCCAATAAGCATAATTCACCCCATCGAAAAGCGGTGGTTGTGCTACTGAACCTCTTTGTTGAGAATCCATAAGAAACTAACTAGTAGTCACAATAGATCCTAAAAGAATAAAAAATAGATAATGCAAGCAAATATGCAATTAATGCCTACAATGTGCCTAGCCCAATCCTTTAGGGAGACCTACTCTGATACCAATTGTAAAGGTTCAATCATATCCTTATTCAGAATGGATCGTCCATGATTACACACGTGGGATTAAGAAGCTACCTAGAGGGTAGTGAATAGGTGAATTTCAATTCCGATTGGCTAAACACCAAATTATAACCTAATCTACCGCATTTGAAAAAATCAATTAACCAAGTAAAAATTGAGAACCCATTTAACAAGAACAACCCATAAAAATTAGTGTAATGAATAAGTCAAATTTATCAATTAACACAATCTCTCAATGCAATCCAACCCAAGGCAATCAACTCACTATCAAACCATTGTGTTTGATAAGAATACTCAAGCAATCCTAGCAAACACATAGTGTGCGTGTGTGCTACAAATTATGAGTGTGTACAATAAAGTAATAAAGAACACAAGCGATTTGTTAATGCGGAAACCCTTCTCGAGAAAAATTATGAGGAACTACCCAAAGCCTAATCCACTGTCCCACAATATATTTACAAGTATTCAAGTCTTATAACTTAACCAATACAAAAAAAAAAAAAAAATACCTCAACTAATATCATGATTAAACACTTCTTTCCTTCTGTAGATCTCTCCACCAGATATGCCCGCTAATGTCATGGATAGCTTCACTTGATCTCCCTACATGCACAGGTAGTTTAGGCCTCGATCACTCCAAGAGCGCACCCAAGAATCTTAGTATGACACTCTTTTAGTGGATTTGATAGAATAAAACAAGTTCTTCTTCTCCAAGATATGAGGTTAGATAGGAATCACAAATGGGTTAGCTTTTGGATTTAGAGATCTACGGTTGCTCAATGATCTATCAAGGTTTAGAGAGGTAATAAATAATCTCACATGAAAAATACCTAGCTAGGGAAGACTCCCTCTATTTATTGGTTCAGAATAGGGTTTATCTTAGGGACTAAGAAAACACAAATTTGCGAACAACCACTTGGGTAGTGAGAGAACGGTGGGAGGATGGTAGTTGTTGTAATGAAAAAAAAATTCAAACCAAATTAGTAAAGTAGGAATCATTTGAGTGACCTTAGGACCGTTCGAGCCATTTCAAGACTGCTCGAGTAACCTAAGAGTAACCTAGAGGGTGGTCTTCATTACCCACTCGTTTAGCCTCTTTCCAATTTTATCCCTAAGTGTTCAGAGAGTGCTCTAGCGAAGGTTATGGAAAATATAGCAGTCCCTACTGATTTTTAAGCTAGAAATCAATAAAAAAAAACTTGTGCCCTTGAGCACTAAAGGTTGTTGCTCAAGTGGGGTCCGATTAATGACTCAAATCTATATTTTCAAAACTTAATAAAGGTTTAGAAAAATCTTTCTTGGAAGAACACCTAGGAGTCATTAACAGATCAATCACCGATACCATTTTACCTAATCAACCTCATTCTAATAAATTAAATCAAGAGTGCTAAGGTCTCTAAGGTTGATGGGCCCGGCCCAAGGGTGCAACTCAGGTTGTGGGCCCAATTTGAATAAAGGACCCACCTAGACGAAACCCAATGGGTCTAGCCCAAAAAAGATCCATGCCCAGTCAAGCTCATCAAGGCTCCAAGAGCCACGTCACCAAAGAGTAGGCGATGTCATCCCAAGAGCCTCATCCATGCTACCTTGGAGTAAGGAGCAAAGAAGTCAAACACGTCACCCTAAGACCCAATCTTGAGGAGAGCTCCGCAATTGCCTCATCAGTTGCGAGTATGACGCCACCTCCTCCATATTAGCTTTTTAGTTACTGATAAGCCGCCTCAATCTGTTAGGAAACACCTATAAATTATAAACCCCACCTACACATGGGGGGCATCACTCTCATCTCTCTCATAGCTTGTACGTCACTTAAGCTCTCATTGCTCTCTACTAATCTCCTTACACTCTTCCAGCAATAAAACACCCAGGTCATTCTAGCCTTTCACAGTGGAGTAGGTCACCTTAACTGAACCATTTAAATTGTATCTTGCTTGTGTTGAGTTCCTCTTTATTTTATTATCCGCATTAATTACTTAACAAGTGGTGTACAAAACTAATTTGTGCATCGTCAAAGGTTATTACCATTGTTCTAAGCAAGAAGGTGCATACGAATGGTCTCTTGATATTGCCTGAAGCACAATCTCCTCCTTTCCATTAACACTTTTGGATCTTTAAATTTTGTAGCATTATGATCATGGAATAGTTTGAGATTTACAAAAAGATTTCAAGAAATTAGCCAATTACAAACATTATCCTAGCAAGATAGTCAAAAGGGTATGTGGTGACATCACCTCCATCTAAGGCATTTTAAACTTAGAAGGAAGTAAAAAATTTTGAATCTCCTGTTCAAAAAGGGATTCAGTTTTTGAACCAATGTTTCTATGGAAACAGGAGCTCTGTTCTTGACGATGTTATTGACATTGCCTAGTTCATCTTGGACTTCTCTAATTCGACTCTCCCAATACTAGTTCAAATGAGGTGGTTGAAGAGGAGGCAGATGATTTTGTCTCACGCTTTCTCCAATTTGGCTGTGAGCCTCATCCTCTTGGTTCTCCTGGTAACGAGTGTTTTCGTCAGAATGACTCTAGTTATCTTCCTCAATGACTCCATTGAGAGGCAGTTTAGGTTGTTGGTTATTAAGGAGTCGAATTTGTTGATTTTGTCAGAGGAGGCATAACATAATTTTCTATTAAGTTTCATTGTTCTCAGCCTGAGGCTAATTAACAAGAAGGACGAGGGGTAGAGCCAGAACTCGTGATTGGCTTTCTTTGTTTTGGCCCATACTTCTTGTCAAAATCATCAATCAAAGAGAAAGAATTTGATGTAGAATGATGAAGAGTGTTCTACATACGACGCCAAACTGATGATGTGGAAAAACTAAGTGTGAACTAAGAGAACTAGTAAAGCTCTGTGTGTGTGTGAGGAAGAGAATGAGAGACAAGAACACAGAAAAATGAGTAGTTCACCAAGCATTAGAGCTAGGTTAGTCCACTATAATAGAGATTTTTGCTCCTTTAGTTTTGTATTGGTTGAGGAAGAATAAGATTACACTAGAGAATATCAACTTCACGAGAATAAAGAATAAATATTCTACACCCAATCAGAGCATTATTTTGAATACAGAAAAAATCAAAAGCAGCATCATTCAGAGATTACCTTTATATTTTCCACTACATAGTCTTCTGGAAATACAGGTGGATTGCTTACTCGAAGTTCTACTTCTGCGAATGGGCTAGATATTCATCTTCCAATCATGGCTCTTGATCTTCCATCTATGCAACATTTGCTCTTCCTTCATGCTTGGTTTTCTGGCTGGATATTCATCTTCTTTCCTGCTCATAATTCTCTCATCTGGATCAGTTGATTTCAGGTTCAAGCTTTCTCTTTTCAACGAATGAAGGGGGAGGATTCTCAAAGGAGACTCAAAGATTGATTCTCTCATTGAAAATACAAGAGGTTGTTCAAAGGTTATGGGGCTATTTTGTTCATGCCTCTGTTCAGATTCCTTATCTGATATGCTATTCAACCTGGCAATAGTTGTGGTGGTCTACCATTGGCCTTTCATTTTCCAGGGCAGTCCGTTCACTTGCCTTATTATTATTTTTTTTTGAACAAACTTGCCTTATTAGATAACCTATCTTCTGGCATGATATTTCCCAAGGCAGTCCCGTCATTTGCCTCATCTGACAGCTGCCCATTCTCAGGACCTATCAAGCACGCAGATCAAATCTGCAGTTTGTTAATTCAAATGGAATCAGTCCTTTAGATTGGATACCTTAGCTTCCGTTTATTTCTGACAATAAACGCCCATTATAAAATTAAAGGATTTACCCGTAACCTAGCCAAAGAAAGAAAAATAACTTAAGACCAATTTAAGCTATAAGTAATTCCACACCGAATTCAAAATACACAAAATAAATTTTTAAACCAAATGGGATGTTGAAATAATCATCTAATTAATAAATCTAATTCGACTCATAAATCTGCATAGCAACATATATTTGTCACCAACAATGGCATTTTCGTATCCTGAGCGGATCAGGGATAGACTGACTACACTGACAGTCATCCACAAAGAGGCCAGTATGCTCCCGGGAGGAAGAGAGATTTTCTCAAAAGCTCATATATCACGGACAAGTACTTGAAGATATGATCGACAGAACAGTAAATATTTCGGAGGCGTACTGGATGTCAAAAATATAACTACAAAAATAAGGACTAAATCAACTAGTTAACAATTGTCAACTTGGTCTCTGAACTTCCAACTTAAGCTATAAGTAATTCCACACCGAATTCAAAATAAACAAAATAAATTTTTAAACCAAATGGGATGTTGAAATAATCATCCAATTTATAAATCTAATTTGGCTCATAAATCTGCAAAACAACATATATTTGTCACCAACAATGGCATTTTCGTATCCTGAGCGGGTCAAGGATAGACTGGCTATACTGACAGTCGTCCACAAAGACGCCAATATGCTCCCGGGTGGAAGAGAGATTTCTCAAAAACCCATATATCACGAACAAGTACCTAGAGATATGATTGACGGAACAGTAAATATTTTGGAGTACAGGATGTCAAAAATATAACTATAAAAATAAGGACTAAATCAACTAGTTAACAATTGTCAACTTGGTCTCTGAACTTCTAATTTTATCATTTTGGCCTTTCATGTTTTCGATTTGTGTTTAATTGGTCCAATTTTAATCACCCATTTAAAATGGTAACATATTTGGCTCAGATCTCGATACATGCCTTGTTCTCAGGGGCAAAATCAGGAAAATTAATCTGATTTAAAATTGGTCTGATTGTAAACAAAATCAAAATATCAATGACCAAATCGAAAAAACTTGAAATTCAAAACTAAATTGACAATCGTCAAATACTTCAGGGACTAAAAGCATGTTTAGTCCAAAAAATACTAATTGAAGCAGCTGGAATTACTAGCACACGCCCAATCAATAAGGTTATCTAGATATTTTACTGGCATAATCACACATCAAAGGGCTTAAACTAACCTATGCTTATGAGAATTTTCATTGGATAATTACGCTGCAAAGTTATGTCATTAGAACTCGCTTTGTTATATTTTTAGAGAGCATATCACAATCATGCCACTGGTGCACCGTGGAAATGGTTATCCTGGTAGAGGACTGATCTCTACTTTAGATATCCAAGTAGGTTTTCAAGAACCAATTAGACAAACTACAAGAAAGTTATTACTAGGAGTCAAAACTGGAAAATTCTATTAAAAGGGTAAACCCCAAAAAAAGAACCAAAATAACAACTCTACCTCCTTATTTTTATCTCCAGCAATGAGAGCGCCTCTCAGATCATAGGCCTCAAATTTCTGCAAAAACAATAAAACAATATTGGAATCAGATAACAGTATGTAGTAAGGAATATTGTAAACAGTCCAAATGCATTAACAAATAAAAGCATTAGAAAAAAGACTCCAACCACACGACTAGGCTACTTTAGCCCAAAATCAGGATAAGAAGAGCTAAGGCTGTATCTTAATTCAAACGAAATCACTTACATAAAATGACACAAATGAAAAAAAAAGGGGGAATGACTTTCAACCCTTGCTATATCCCAGAGACTATATTCCAAACAGAGGAAGGGCATTTTAGAAGTTCTGAGCTGGAATGTAAAAAGTTGACCCGTAGACATTATTTACAAAATGATGATCAGCTTTGCTTGGATACCATTAGAAGTTCTGAGCCTGACCCTCTGGACTTAGCGAGGGTAACAGACAGGAGCTTGATACGTAGATGCAATGCTAAAAGTATTAACAACCAATCTAAAGATTCTTATTTTTGATATTTCTGTTCTGCTAAAAAATTCAAGTTTGGCATAGCTCTTTTTTTTTTCTTTTTTCTTTTTTTTGAGATAGGAAACTGAGAAATTGTATTTTAAAAGCCAAAAAACTCGAGGAAGAGGTTGGCTAAGAAGTCCAACCAAATGAAACAGACATACATAACAAAAGGAAAATATTACAAACTCATAAATCACATGACACTCTCCATCCTGCCAAAATGCTAAAATGTGAGATTCCTCGGAAGGCCTGAGGCCCTGAAGCCCAAAAATGATGCCATAAAATGAATACAATCCCATAAACCATCCAATTCCGTTCTTCTATCTTCAAAATTTTTTGAATTCCTTTCCTCTAAATAAACCAAAAGATAGCCATAGTTGAAATTCAAATAAGTATTAGGGTTTAAATTTAGGAGACAGTGAAGAGATTGAGGAAATAATGTGTATGAGCTAATGTACCCTACACATTCTTATTTATAACAACTGAGTAAATTACAATATTACCTTACACTAATAATAATAAATAAGAACTCTAACACTCTCCCTTAAGCTGGAGCATAAAAATCAAATATGTCCAACTTGGAACAAAGATTGTTGATGATAGGTTTGTCGAACCAATGATTTGGTAAGGATGTCATGCAGCTGATTGCTAGACTTTATGTATGGTACGACAATCTCTTTTCGTATCAAGAGATCTCGAATAAAATGACAATCTACTTTAATGGTTTTAGTCCTCTCATGAAACACTAGATTTCTAACAATGAAAATAGTTGTCTGGTACTCACAGTGCATCTCCATAGAAGAAGACACAATGATACTCATATCATGTAGTAGAGAATGAACCCACATCATCTCCCATGAAGTATTATGAGTTATGACTCGGTGTTTAGCCTCTGCACTCAAACGTGCAACATTCTGTTTTTTAATAGGCCAAGTAACAAGATTACCATCAATAAATATAAAGTAACCCAATGTAAATCTGTCTATCAGCACGACTACCTACCTAGTCAGTATCAGAAAAAACAGTAATAGTAATAGATGATGAAAGACGATATAATAATCATTTACCCAGTACTCCTTTCAAATGCCAAAGAATACAACAAACTACCTCCCAATGAGGCATGAATGGACTGCCCACACTAATATCATAGGTAATATCAGGACATGTAACTATGAGATAAATCAGTTTACCAAACAACCGCCGATAACGTCATAGATTATCAAAAACTTCACCACTCTCAGCATCTAACTTAATATAGAGTCCATGGGAGCATCAATTGGACGTGTACCCAATTTCAGACAATAAATCTTATACATACTTCTGTTGGCACAAACTGATACCTTCCTTTAACTGAGAAAACCTGATCCTAAGGAAGTAACGAAAAATACCTAACTCTTTAATATGAAACTACTTCCCAAATAAATCTTGAAATGGGCTACGCTATCTGACTCATTAGCACTAATGATTATGTCATCAACATACACAATAAGAATAATAACACCCGTGGAAGAACGACGAATAAAAACTGAATAGTTTGAAGTAGAGTACTAAAAGTTATACTAAAGTGCAGTAATAATGAACTTATCAAACCAAGCATGTGGTGTATATACCTCCTCTTGTAGGTCTCCATGTAAAAATAAATTCTTGACGTCTAATTGATATAATGGTCAACCACAACTAACTGCAACCGAAAAAAGAAATTTAACAAAGTTAAGACAAGCAACTGGGGAAAAAGTCTTTAGAGTAATCCACGGCATATATCTAGGTATAGCCTTTGGCAACCAAGAGTACAATCAATCGCTCAACCGAACCACTGGGGTGATACTTCACTATATAGACCCAATGACAATTAACATGTTGCTTTATCATAAGGGAGAGTAGCAAGGTCTCATGTCTGATTCTCATGAAGCGCTTTCATTTCCTCAAACATAACCAATCTCCAACGAGGAGATGCCACTGCCCAAGTTAAGGGACTAGGAACAAACACAAATGACAAAGTGGATGCAAAACAACAAAAAGAAGACGAAAGTCGATATAAAGAAACAAAGTAAGAAATGGGATGCTTAATACAGCTATGGGTACCTTTCCTCATTGCAATAGGAAGATGAGAAGAGGATGACCTAACTAGCGACTCAAACCTCAATAGAATCAAGCGATGATTATAGAGCAAATGGGGCAACTTTCTGTTCTAGGAACGACGATAAACCAATAAGAGTGGAGTAATAATCGAGTAAAGAGATACACAGTCTAGTACAATAGGCAACAAGAGTACCCCTTGACTGGAACAAACTAAATTAGGTGACAGAGTATGTCGTGACGCAAAAAGGAAGGATGACTCAAAGAATGTAACATTAACAGTGACATAGTATTGACAAGAAACAAGATCATAGCAGCGATAACCTTTTTGAGTACAAGAATATCCCAAAAAGGCACACTTGACTAAGCGAGAAGAAAGTTTATCTCGACACAGACCAAGAAGATAAACAAATACAACACAACCAAAGATATAAGGAGTGAAACCAAATGACCGTTTACTAGGGTAGAGCTACGAGAAAAGAGACTTGTTGTCCAGAATAGGGGAAGGGATGCAATTAATAAGATAAACTGAAGTAAATGCAGCATCATTCCAATATGATTTTTGCACATGTATGTTAAACATTATGGTGCAAGCAACATCCAACAAATGGCGATGCTTACGTTCGATAATGCCATTTTGTTGGAAGGTATGTGGACATGTTTTTGATGGATAATGTCACGGTCAGCACAAAAGGTTTTCACAAATGATTGAGTATATTAAAGGGCATTATCAGATCAAAGAACTTTAATATGTATATCAAACTGAACAAGGATTTTATTATAAAAAATGATTAAGACCTTAGATAGTTTAGATAGATCTTTCATAAGAAATAATCAAGTCATACAAAAGAAATCATTAACAAAAATTACAAAATATTGAAGACTAGAAGTATTTTCGATTCTTGTAGAGCCCGATATGTCTGTATGAACAATATGAAAAGGACTAGATTAACAACTATAAGAAATATGAGAAAATGAACTATGGTGATGGTTGCCTAATTGACAAGTCTCACATTCTAACACAAAAGAAAAACTCAAACCAGGGATAACTTGAAGCAACTTTTGCAAGGAGGAATGACCTAGCCAAGAGAAGACATGATAACACTCAAGGTAGGAATAGAACCACCAGCATCTAAGTTATAAAGATCATTGCACTCATACCTCAAACCAATCACATTTTTTCGTCTTGAAATCTTGAAAAATACAAGAAGATGTAGAGAATGTTACTAAACACTACACTGACAAAGTTAACTGCCTCACATATAACAAGATATGGGAAAATTTGGAACAAACAAATCAGAAGTTAATGACATATGATTGAGTAGATGAAGATCCACAATTTCATGTACTGGTCGAGAAGAACCACTAACACAATACGTGAATTAGACGAATGAAAATTAGAGAATAGAGAAAAAATATCAAACATATAAGTACTACCTCCTGAATCAATGATCCAAGATGATGGAGAAGATTGAGCAACCACACATGCAGAGTTACCCGCATTAGCAAAACCAGTAGTAGGAGCAGATAAACGTGTAAAAAAAGGTACATAATTGTTGGATGAGCCGACAAAGCTGAGAAGAAAGATCGTCGTGAGAATCAGTAGTAGATGTAACTAGTTCATTGATAGATGTCTAATGTAATGAAGTATCATTAGAAGCCTGATTACAATATGCAGGTCTCTCATACTTATCCCAACAATAAGTCTCAGTATATCTAGTGCCACTAAAATAATTACACTTCCACTCAGATTGATGACTACAACCAAAACGAACTCCACATCCACAATGTCCTGTGCATAGACCACCACGGTCAACATTATGGAACAGATCAAGACTGCCACCACGAACACACCCATTACAATCATTCAAAGTGGTCATCAAAAAATTCACAATTAATTATGCACCCAAAATGTTGCAACTACACCGAGAACCAACCCAAGGAGAACTAAACAACTCAAATTACAATCAAACCATTGAAAAAAAAGGGCAAACTAGGTTGAAACCAATGAAAACAACCCTTGGACGACTGGACCAAGCTTGAGGAGGGATAGAATACATAGAATTGGGGTTAATGTTTGTTAAGTTGAGAGAATTAGTATAACGTAATATTAGAGACAATATTAGAGAGAAAGAGAGAGGTTAGAAACTTAACCCAGCCCTCATACATCACTTGTATTTATAGATAACTCATAATCATAAGAATTACATATACACACCCTCTTGTATTTACACATAATACCCTAACACTATTAACAATTTACATATACTACTCTAATACTATTAACACTTCCCCTCAAGTTGGACTATATATATATATAATCCAAGCTTAGAACAAATCTCTATAAGACGTGTACGACTCAATGTTTTGGTAAACATATCTGCAAGCGGATCTTCAGATTTCATAAATGGAGTCGTAATCTCCCCAGCTACTATCTTATCCTGAATAAAGTGACAATCAACCTCAATATGTTTGGTTCTCTCGTGAAACACCGGATTGGCAGCAATATGGATAGCTGTCTGGTTGTCACAGAACAACTATAAAGAAGGTTGAACTGAAAACCCAATTTTCTGAAGAAAGTGTAGCAGCCACGTCAACCCACTCGTCATATGCGCCATTACCCTATACTCAGCCTCAGCACTGGATCTTGCTACCACAGATTGTTTTTCACTTTTTATGAGACAACGTTACCTTTTAAGAAAGTACAATAACCGGTGCTTAATCTTCGATAAAAAAGAGAGCCAGCCCAATCAACATCTAAGAAACCTTCCTCTAAGATGTCCATTAGCTCGATATAACAGTTCAAGTCCAGGAGCTCGTTTAAGATATCGTAGAATACGAGTGACTGCCTCCCAATGTGGTACTCTATGACACCCCATAAACTGACT